CGACGCTTGGCTACGACGTGTTGCTTGTGTGCGAGCGTGCGCGCGCAGGCGTGGCCACTGGCCAAACGGACTATCCCCACTCTACCCCCACCGCCGCTGCAGCGACCGTGCTAACGTTCTCGGCTGGCATCACTGCTCGGCTGGCATCACTGTCCCAGAACTCCCAGAAGTCCCAGACCTGTGTGCACCTGTGTGTAAGATCGTGCTGAGACCGATTGCCCTTGTGATCGAGTAAATAAGAACAATTGGTGATTGACGGGCTGGGGGGGAAGGGGATCGAGGAGAAGCACGAGGGCAACAGCGATGTGGTGAACGCCGGTGACGACAGGCGATGGCTGGGCGAGTGTCCAGCGAGGAGCGCGAGACGAGCTCGCCGAGAAATGCCGATAACCTATCGCGCCAGATCACGTCGACGTCCACATCCGAGTCAAGTAACGACGTGGCCAAGGAGAGACAGGCGATAGAGGAAAGACTGCCGGCCAAGATGTTCTCCTACGAAATTATTTGTTTTTTCTTTGCAATTACATTCACCGCTTTGGCTGCTCTGCACAGCTCGTAAGTTTTAGGTTATATATACATGTGTGTATATAATATACGTGGTGTACAAATACATACGCGTGTGCGTAAAATTCTGTCGCGGCGTTTTAAGTTGTGAGTGAACTGCGTCGGTGTGTTCTATTGGTAAAACGAAAACAATATATACATGTAGATTTGTCGAAGTTTTGTTTAAAAAATTATGACAAAAACAACAAGTTTTGTAGTGTAAAATCTGGCAGACTTGGAAACCAAAGGATTGCATAGAACGACTATCCAATTGTATCGCGTACACTGACGTGTTCATTGAAAAAGTTAAAAATTTTCTTAAGTAAACGTTGCTTTGTCAGTCCATGGAATTTTTCGTGAAAAGTTATCTGTACCATATGCATTGACTGATCTCTTTCGCAAGGTTGCATATCAATTTTACGCAATTTCTGATTTTTTATTGTATGCCAAAATGAGCGTTTAAGCACAAAAACAAAAATTGTGTAAAATCGAGATACGACCCTACGAAAGAAATCGGAACAAATTGTAAGGAACGAAATAAACCCAATGGTCACTGACAAGGGTAGCCAACCAAAATTAAAAATAGAACATTAATAAGATCGATTGTGCCCAATTAATAAAGCAGACTTTTTTCATTTGCAGTAGGTTTTATTTGTCCATATTCTTGTCCATAAGACACTGGTGCTGTTTGGCTATGAAACCTTAAAACTTACTATGTATGCAGTACATTTTTAACGCATTTTCAACATGAATGTGTTCATATTGTGGATTTTGTAGACCACCCAAGCTCTCGAGGCCTCCCGTAGCGAAACCTTTCTTCGATCAGAATTCTATGATACTGGATTTCTACAAGGGTCATCTGGATGCGATGATCGAGAGGATAACGCAAGCGGATTTTAGCTTCGTCATGTATTATGCACCCTGGGATGCAGAAAGCCAGGCGCTTCGGCACGAATTTGAAAGCGTTGCCCGGTTTTATCATCCGCAGGTACAAAATTGCGATTTAGGATCCGGTGTTCTTCCCTGCGTGTTCATAAGCACTTGGGCACTGTGTGTGTTCTTAGATATTCTTCGCAGCCATTAATTGTTGGCACCCCGATTCAGAGTGCAGAGCGCAGTATAATAAAATCCACGGTTATCCAGTGTTGATGCTGTATCCGTCCAGAGATTCTGGCATTAATTACAGAGGGATTCGTACAGCACCGTACATGATTCGTTTCCTTGATGCACTTATGAATCCCATTATTAGAATAACACATAAGGAACAACTGATGGAATTGTTAATTGCCTACGATGTGAGTATGAATTTAAAAACGAAATTTATTTTTCAGAATTTTTCTCTTATTTCAGGAGTAATAAAAATAAATTAATGTTTATAAATATTTTAATTTTATTTATAGAAACATTTAGTATTATACACTACTAAAAAAAATAGGGAACACTTTTCATACCCTAAAAATTGGGTTATTTTCAAACCACTAAAACTCCGCGAAAAATCATCGTAGACTCAAAATTAAACAAGCGTTTTAAAGCTTGAAGTTTCAACTTTAAAATCCTGTCAACGATTTATTTAAATATCGTAGAGTGGGGTAACATGGAACAAGTGGGCAAGTTGGAACAAAACTTCCAATTTCATATTTATGCATTAAAACCGGCAACGTCTGCAAGAATTGAGCGTACATATGGGCTAAACCAAAACTAGCGTTGAACTCGAATGCTTTCTTGCAGACGTTGCCGGTTTTAATGCATAAATATGAAATTGGAAGTTTTGTTCCAACTTGCCCCCTTGTTCCATGTTACCCCACTCTACGCTATGTTCATCTTCCTCGTTCTATGCATTAAAAAAGAATACCTTGTTTTGTTCCTTAAAATTACATATATTTGACACATTGCAGCTCGATAAAAAAAATTCTCGACAAATTCGATACAAATTCCACAATCTACATTTTACCTACAAAATGCTTTTTTTAAATTTTCCTACGATTTTTTTTGACAGAGTTACATGACTTTGAAGCGAACCATGTATTTTCTTAAATAATAATTCAAAGTGCCTTAGTTTATCTCGATTTAACATATAAGATAAGGCATGAAAAAATTAATATAGATTATTTTATTGAGAGAAAGAAAGAAATCTGCAGGCAGATTTTTCTCGGAAGCGCCGTCATCTAGGGCTTTTTACTTTTTATGTTTTAATGATTATGTTTTATCTTGGCTAATTACTCTGACAACTTACAGGCAGTAGTTGTTGGATACTTCAATTTTACACGATTGGATAGAACTCCTGGATACAGGGAGTTTTATAAGGCCGCGATACGATCATTGGAAAGAGATCCTAATAGAGAATTGGTATTTGCTATAGTGACTAGCGCATCAGCTAGCAAATTACATTACGGAGTTTACAAGTTTCCGTCGGCAAGTTTGCTCATGTGGAATGAATCTTTAGTAAGTGTGCGTCGCGCCAGTTTTTCTACTTTACATAATATAGAGCCAAGGGCATACTGTACCAGTTTTCCTACTGGATTGCTTACGAGAGCTAATCAGAATTTAGCCTTAAGTCACTTGATCTAAAACTCTGCGTCCTTATTGGTCCTCGTATAGCAATCCATGTAGAGAAAATAGTGTCGTGTGCCGTTGACTTAACTCTCCACCTAATACAACTAACTTTAAAAACACTTAGAGTTATCCGGAAAGCAGTGAGTGGACCTCCGAGAATATCCTGAATTGGATCAGCAGTTCTGTTCATCAACCGTCTCTCTGGCTGCAGCCACCTGGAATCAAAGCGCTTACTCTCGCACCCTATCTCCGCGAGGGGCCAGTTTTATTTCTCTTTACACCACGAAATCCGTTGCACACGGAAAATTATATTTACAATTTGGTGCGTATTCAAGTTTTGTCTGCTTTTTGTAGACTATAAATATTTATTAATTCAAAAATTATTACTTGCGAGTTATGATCATACGACAGAATTTTCTCATTTTTCCATTTTTTGGGGGGTTTTTTATCCATGTAGAAAAGAAGCGATTTTCGAAATTTGAATACTTGATTTTGGTTTGTTCTTTTAAAGAACTCCGCACTAATCATATAGAAAATTGGATCTCGGTTAAATTGGCTAGTTTTCACATATGTTGTAGCTTATGACCTGCTGAATAAAATATATAATGGGCTCAAACTTAAATAATTGCTAGTTACTGAGCTACAGCCAGTTAAATATGGAAAATTTGGGCTCCGCGTTTTGTTTGGAAATACTTTGAAGCATATTAGGAAAAAATGTTTCAGACAAAAGTTGTTTGGTTCGATATATATTTGTTTGGTTCGAAATAAGACTATATTTCATTATGTAGTGTCTTTGAAAATCTCTTGACATAAAAATGTGCAATGAAAAATGGGGGTGTCCATTTAAGAAATTAAAATTGACCTTCATGTGACCTTCAAATGATTATCCAAGGTCAAATTAATGGCATCGTCTTATGTCTCCCTTCGAACCAAACAACTTTTGTCTGAAACATTTTTTTCTAATATGCTTCAAAGTATTTCCGAATAAGACCCGCGGAGCCCAAATTTTCTGTTTGACTGGCTGTAGCCCAGTAACTAGCCATTATTTAAGTTTGAGCCCATTACATTTTTTGTTCAGCAGGTCATAAGCTACAACATATGTGAAACTAGCCAATTTAACCGAGATCCAATTTCCTATATGATTAGTGCGGGGTTCTTTCACTTGACATCACTATTCCGAGTACAATACGACAATGCTTGACCACTAGTATTTTTAGAGGACCAGGAGTTTAGCTTGCGACCCAAAAATGAAGTTTTCGGGAAATTTTTTCTGTATTTTTGCACGTTATGATCGGCCATTTTGTGTTCGCCGTTACGATAGTTTTATTGTTACTCTGGTCATGTGATATCACATTGTTGAGAACATACTGACGTGTCAGTCATGATGATTATTGCGTTTTTCTGTGTGAAATTGAATGATATTGTAAGATTTCAAGGTTCGACCACCATTTTGGGTACCGCCATCGTGAATTTCAAAATGAGTATACGTACGTTTTAAAGATTAGAATCTGTGGACGCGATATTTGGACTTTACAAGATTACCCTAATATCGTTTTGAAGTAAAATTATCGTTTGAAAAAACAATTAGAGTAAAAAATTGCGATTTAAAAATAAGCTGTAACCTTTTTGGGACGTCATTGACAAATTCTGAAAGAGCAAGTAATTTTACATCAGAAATGATATTGTTTAAATTTTTTCAAGAACATTAAAACAACAGTATATGCTAAAGTATAACACGGAACATTGTTATAGAATATGTATTTCTCTATTTAAATATATTGTAGTAGCATAGTTATATGATTATATATCAATATATTCTTGTTCTTCAGATCAGAGAGATTGGCTTACAGTATTATAACTGTGCAGATAGTATGTTGGCAAAGGATATAGTCGCACGTCTGGAAGCAAAACGACGTACAGCGGTGATCCGACACTTTTCTAGGGATCAAGAATGCGCCGATCTAAAGGAAAACAAAACCTATACTGAGCAAATCAAGGAATCAGTTGCTAGCATATCAATTCAGCAGTGGATCAACAATAGTTGCTGCGCCAATGTAGCAATGAATAAATGTCTTTTGTGCAAGACGAAGGTGATGAATCCACTGGAGAAGGAAATGTGTACAGTTATTTCTAAAAAATTTAATGATGTCTGCAAAGATACCGATGTATTTACAACTCCTGTTACGATTAGGCAACGTGAGAAACAGATATATAATTATAACAAGAATTATGTGTCAATAAAATTACAGGAAGAGTCAAAATTAAAGAGGTAATATACATTTACACATAAATGTAGGTATAAATTGTTTTAAAGCAGCTCGTTGAAAAAAAAGGAACTGTTATTTTAAGGCTGCGAGCAAGTATAGAATATAAATCGTCATTATTGAAGGAAGAAAACGATTTGCGATCTGCGAGCATGGTGAGGAGAGATTTTTTAAAAGAGAATTGCAAAAAGTGGATAGCTGGGAATGATTATCATCCATCATTATTTCCGCGAGAATCTCCAATGCAGTTTAACATCAGCTTGAAGGAATCAGTCTGTAAAACCAACAAGACATTAGCATTGATAGCTATCGACAGTTTGCACTACTTCCATTTTGCAGAACATCTGGGGATTAATATCTCGAAACGGAAAAATAGAACCACTGTCGTCATCTTGGATGCAGCGGTGAGTTTTGATCAAAGTTGGGAAGTCACTTTATAAAAGTATCTAGTTGCAGTTGCAGTTTTTTCGCTAAAAATGTAGCTAGTTACAGTTACAAGTTGCCAATTGTGAAAAGTAACGCGTTACAGTTGCAGTTACTCAAAAAGGTAACGAATCGTTACTTTGCAGTTACTTACAATAAAAATAAAAGTATCAAATCTGCATTTAAATTGTAAAGCGTCGATAAAGGCGTCTGTGCGCAAGTGCAAGGCCTAATGCAATACGTGGAGGTTTGAAAAATATATAAAGTAACTATTAATGCAACTAAGTGAAATTACAGTTACAGATATAACGAAGTTAAGTGAGAATTATAAAAAAAGTAACTAACTGTAACTTCGTTTTAAGTAACGAGTTACTTCCCAACCCTGGTTTTGACAATGTTATATTTTAACATTTAAAATAGTATATTTGTCACCAATTTTCATTATTTAAAAATTTATTGGACAGTTGTGAATTTCTTGTGTGCATTTTTGGGGGGAGCAGAAATATTGCGTGTTTTTTCCTTCCGTAACATTCTTGCGACTATCCTTTTTTTTTGTTATAGTTGGAGAGTCAGTACGTTATGCATCATGAGTTCAGCGAGTATGCTCTCATCGATTTCATAAACAATTATACGCAAGGTTTGTTACAACGAACGTTACGTTCGGATAATTCAAAGCATCATAGAGCACAAAAGTTGCTTGATGAAGACGACAGTAATATCGCAGATTTGCGTCCAAAGGTTCGTGTGCCGGAATTGACAACAAAAACATTTCTGGATACTATCTTGGATCCATCTAAGGTAAGTTATATGCAACGCATGATTGTTGCACCTTTGTCGCAATATAGGTCTTAAAACAATATAATGTAATAAATAATATATATAGATGCTTCGATCTTTAAATAAACAGGATTGATGGATATACAGGGTGTTACGGATAAGGTGTTTATCCACTCGTATACATGTAGAGCGGGTTAAACTGAAGAGGAAAGTTCTGTACCATTTTATAAAATTCGCGATAGTTTTCGAGTGATAAATAAAAATATCGGGGCGAATAAACGCATGAGAAGCAGTGGGCCGGACTCGGCAGGCAAATTAAATTCTTTATTTGTTTAGTCTCGTAGCGGGCGTCCGATAGCGGGAGGTGGAGTGACGCATCGGAAAAAAGTTGTCACGCAACGAGCGGCGAGCTTCAGATGATGCTCACCGCTACAAGACTAAATAAATAAGCCATTTAATATCTGCCGAGTTCGGCCTACCGCTTTCCTCGCGCTTATTCGCCCAGACGTTTTAATTAATAGCATTAAGAATCATTTGACGCCAGCAGATGAATCAACATGATTAAGCAAAGCAGTTAATCAACCATGACTGGCTATGTGTTTTAATTAATTACTCGATAACTGTTGAGAATTTTATAAAACGGTACATAACTTTTCTTTTCAGTTTAACCCGTTCTACCTTTATATGAGCGGACACTATCCGTAATACCCTGTATATATTTTTTGCAAGTAAAAAAACTATTAAAATTACACGTTGAAAGATAGATTTTGTCAAATGTAATTAATTTTCTTTTTAGGATGTTGTTATCATGTATCATTCCCCTTATTGCGGATTTTGTAGCGCAATATCGTATGTATACTTGACAATAGCATATTACTTATCCAACATGAATCATCTGATTTTTGTAAGAGTTGATGGAGACAACAACGACTTGCCCTGGGAGTACAGTATGAATCGTTTTCCATCTATTTTATTCTTTCCTGCAAAAAGGTGTGTGAATTGCAACAAGTTTTTAATCATTAATAAGTTTGTAATCATTAAATTTGTTCAAGTTTGCTATTTTTCTCAATGTTATTTCAAAACGTGTCTTTCTAGAAAAACGTCTTTTATATATTTATTATATTTTTTGTTTCTTTGGATTTTTTTCTTTCAATTTCTCTCTTTTTTTATTCACAAATTACTTTGATTTACATAGAACATCTATTTTGATTTCAAAACACATTATTTCGTATGTTCTAATAATATTTCCTTTTGCTGGCATTTTTTTTTTAGAAAAGAGGACAGTACTGTGTTTCCATTTTCTGTTCCTATTACCATTCCAAACTTGCTGAACTTTGTACTGGCGAACTTGGATGGCGATTCCCACGTCGAAGCTTTGACTAATATTTGTCAGGTGGGAACTGGCGAAGCGCCGGATAAGTGTATTGCTAGGACCCGAAGGCTGTGCTTAGATATTATCGAGCAACTTCTGCAGGATTACAGAAAGTTAAGGCGGCATCTAAGCTTCCTAAATAAGAAAGTCGCGCGCAATAAACGTAAAATTATTTTACTCAAATTAGAGCATATCAAGGACATACATTTTATTCTAGGTTCTACTGTTGATCTTAGTAAGGATCGAAAGAAAGCGCGACTGATTAAGGGGAAGTTTTTTAAGTACTACAACGTTATTAGATCGTTAGAAACGGATGAGAAAATAGCAAAGCAAAGTTATGAATCTCGAGACGCTGTACACGCGTCGACTATTAAACGAGAAGGGATAAGAAGCGAATTGTGATATAGATTTCGCCTTACGAATCAAGATACGTCCACATGACGATAGATAGTATTTTGGAATATACTTTCGGCTAATATAAATTTATGCCAAATTGGTTACGCGTGAGGGAAAGAGTGTTTTGCTCGACTATCACTTTTTATAAATACAACAGAAACAAAAAGCGAATTAATGTAAAAATCCAGGACTGATTACACGATACAGTTCTTTTAACTTTCCGCGATAGCCGTAAGTGAGTGAACGACGTTGATAAACACAAAATGGAATGCGAGATAGAGTATCAACGGAGTATAAAAGCACGGTATCTATTTAAGATTCTAGAGCATGTACTCTTCAGGTATAGATGCACAAGGATCTTGAATAACATTTTTAGACACGCAATTTATATTCTTGGATGTACAAAATTCTTATAATTCGTATATATATATCTGATTTATCATTCATTCAATTGCCCAGTTAGCAAAATGTTAGCAGATTCATCAGAAACCCACAAAACCATAGCCATCTGTGTCCACATTTGGCTTTCGTTTTGGCAACAGAGCCTGTAAAACACACACTGTCAAAGATTATCGGCAGAGACCGAACAGATCCAGTTATGTGAGCAGATTTTGTTGTATTTCTGCTGACGTGCTGGCAACATATCGAATATATCAACAGAGCCGGTTCTAAGCGGGGGGTCGGATGCAAACAAAAAACGAATTTGGCTACTTAATTAGCGCGGGAAAGCAGGACCGATCAAACTGCGAAGCCGATTAAACTGCGAGGCCGTGTGCGACGCACCGGTTGCACGCGAACCCCGGCCCTGTATATCAGTTCGTGTATGCAATCTGCAATCTTTCTGCCTTCAAAATTTGTAGTGGGCATTTGACGAAGTCTGTTCCGACAGATTTTGCTATCTGGGTACACTAGTCCTAAGAAGTATCGTCATTTGTGTTTAGATTATTCTTTACATAGTTTGATCGATTAATTGTGCTAAAATCGTCAAAGGAAATGTTTTTTTACAAACTGTGTTGATTTAATATCTTGCCTCAAATTCCGATGAAACTTTCTGCCTGCGTTCGTTTTCTCCCACCGGGAGCATAAACTATACTGAAAGTCTACAATTTACGTAACGTAAACTATAGAGTTTCAGTATAGTTTATGCTCCCAGTGGGAGAAAACGAACGCAAGCTCTATGTCACGTAGCATTCGTAAATGAATTACGCATCAACTGTAATTACAATTGAACTCTTAGGGGAAATTAAAAAGAAGACAGTTAAAAAAGCTCAATTGACATTTAAATTATCGAAAAAATTTGAAAAACAGTTTGTCAGTTAAAAGGAACATCCTAGTATAGACAAAATGTATGATATTTGTATTTCTATATATCTGCCGCCGGTGCAATAGCATTTGTAAATTTATGTAAATATTATATGATAAGTCTGTATATACATATACATATGATATACATATTTATGTGTATATGTTTCAATTTAATCCTCTGTCTTGCCCATTTTATTTTTCAGGCTATTAAATTCTTTTACTGCAGCTGTATCAATTTATGATGTCAGAAATAAGAAATTATTTTTTTTATAATATATTAGGTGTACAAATGAATAATCCAATTTTTTCAGCTACATTCAGGGTTTATTTTAACCCATTAATGCCCAAGCGCTCGCGTTTTCAACACTTTTTTTGGACGTGTTTCTCGAATAGAAAAGCGGGAAATTTTTTAACCAGAATAGGGTATCCTATTGTTTTTGGGTGTGCTCTTTCGATTGCCGCGGTCAGAATTCGATTTCCACGCGGTGAAAAACCAATATGGCGGATTTTTAATTGAAGAACAATGAAAAAATGAAAAATCTTTTCGAAATTTTTTTTCGAACCCTAGAAATATTTGGACCGATCTGAAACTGTGCACAAAGGTGCATAAAATGTTCCTAGAATTGGGAAAAATTTTTTGTTTTACCCTCCTCTTCACCGAATTGCTCGAAAATGGCCAAAAATGACAAAATTTTATCAAAAATAGGGTACAACTGTCTCTATTCCCCATGATCGTCAGCGAAGCCCGGAAATCGTAGACACAAAGATATTTTGAGTCAATAAACCCCAATTGCAACCTCGAAGAGCCCCTATTATAGACGGGTTCGTTCCTAACCTCAAAAAATTGCAGAAAAATAGCTGAATTCACATAAAATGACAGCAAATTGACAGAAAACATTTGTATTCTAGTGTATTGTGCTGTGTTTGAGCTAATTCCAAAGTCTAAAAGTGTATATGACATATTGCGTCAACCCTAACCTAAAAAAATTCAGAAAAACAGCGGAAATAACAAAAATTGACAGAAAAACATCCGAACAAATTTGTATTCTAACATATTGTGCGGTGTTAGAGCCAATTCCAAGGTCTAAAACCGTATAGGGCGTATTGGTCATCCCTAACCTCAAAAAATTGCAGAGAAACAGCGGAATTCACAAAAAATGACAGAAACAATCGAACAAACACTGATTCTAGGGCATTGTCCTGTGTCAGAGCCAAATCCAAGGTCCAAAAGTCTCTCTGACATATTGCCCCAAACCTGTCATTTTTGTGAATTCCGCTGTTTTTCTACAGTTTTTTGAGGTTAGGGATGAACCAATACGCCCTATACGGTTTTAGACCCTGGAATTGGCTCCAACACAGCACAATATGTTAGAATACAAATTTGTTCGGATGTTTTTC